GGGGGGGGGGGGGGGGGGGGGCAGCCGGCACAATCTTTCCTGGGCAACGACTCGCGTGGTGTGGCAACAGTGATGGAGAAACAACAAGCAGGCGTTGTCAAAGCCTCGCCAACCACGGTCTAGCCGTGTTCACGGAATCAGCGTCCGCAGAATTCTCTGTGGGCGCCAAAGCTTTTACGAGTTCCTTTCAGGGCTCCATCTATCAATCCCCCTGGCCGCGTGATGTATCGTCAGTAGGAGCTATGTGTGGGCGAGTGTTGTTAAATGAGCACTATCGGTCCACCCAGACCCTTTCGGACGCCATCGGGACGTGCATAGGTACTTCCTATCTTGTTTCCGTACATGCACGCAGCATTAAATTGTGGTTGGACTGTCTCCGGCTCTCTTGCATACATTGATGCTGTTAGTGGGTTAACTCGTGACAATGGGGACTCGGTTGTTGATCTCGAAGAGTGCCGGAAAACATTCGAGGTGACAGCCTTTTTCAAGGTGGTCACAACAACAACAACAACAACAACAACGGTTTTTGTGGACAGCGGTTTGCGGTTTTGCGGACGACGGCAGCAGCTGCAGCATCCGTACCTTAATCTGGGTGCCTTCGTGACATTGGCGAGCGCCTCCACCGGCTCCGTGAACCTTATTGTCACGTCGATCTCGTCCCCGGCACCGTACGGCCCCTCGCCGGCCGGCTTCGTGGTCGTCATGTTCTCCACACGAGGTACGTTGGTCGACACGATGAGATCGCGGTTAGCTCCGAGAGAGCAGCCCTTGAAAGCCACGCAGGTGCCAGGCTCGGGAAGGCTGATGTTGGCGGCGGTGGCTCCCTGTTACACGTGCGCGCGTGTGTGTTTTGTGGAGTGTTGTTTCGTTTTGGTTTCAGAAATATTTGGATCATATGAGCAAAACAATTAGAGCACGATCTCAGCACGTTTCTGTCACATTTCAGTCTCGCGTGTACAACTGTAGATCAAATTAGACCCCAGCGGGAGAGAGGACCCCGAGAGTAACGTTCCAGGTAGGGGGCGGGGGGGCGGTCCTCTGGAGTTGTGGTTTCATGCGCAAAGAGTCATCGATCGACGTGGCGAAGTAAAAAACACAACGTGTTGTCGATGCCGCCTCCTCCGTTTTCGACAGGAAAGTCCCACGCTTGAAATAACCGTTTGGTATCACTCCGAACTCAAACCACGCTAGCTTCGTACAGGGCAAACACGGTTTGAGTCCGTCGCCTCTGGTGCTTGCGATACCCCTCCTCTTTCCGTTTCCTCTGGTAGAGTGACCAGTACTACTCCGTTTCCGACAGCCGACCTTCTGCCCCGACCCCACCAATACCACTGCCGTGCGAACGCCGGTGTGTGCACCTCATCGGCCACGCGGCGGACATATCCGTCGGTCTTGAACGCTAGCTCGTCCCAGTACTCGAGGTCGCCCGATTTGTCTCCCGGCTGGACAGTGTACAAGAAACTGAAGTAGGCCGTGCCATTGCCGGAGTGGTAGGTGGCCGCCTCGTAGCCCGAGCCCGAGACATTCACGACGGGATTCCTGGTATTGAGTGACAGCGGTAGATCGTTTGCTGGCGCGTGCCGTCGCGAGCGTTTTCAGGGATTCAAATCTAGTCGATTCCGGAACGGAAAGAAGATAAATGTACGAAAGAGTTTGTGGCATCACGCCAAGGGGAGTGACTTGGACTTTGTTTTCTTCGTGTGTTGTCGTTCGAGCTCACCCTTCCAGTATGTCGTCGCCGATGTAGGAGCCGGACACCTCGGCCTCGTTCTCCGTGATGTTGAGCAGGGTGCGCTCAGAGGTCCCGATCGAGACCGTCTCGCCGATGTCGTCCGCGGTCAGTTCATGACCCTCCTGCCCAACAAAAACACAAACGACAAATTGCATCACATCGTGTTTCATGGCATCGTGACACGTCCAATGATCGGCGGCAGTAGAGATACGAGGTACGAGACATGTTGCGCTGCAAGCATTTTGCATGTGTGCTCGACGACGCGCACAAGGAGGGCTAAGGTACTACTAAAGTATATGCAGAGCACCCCCGGAAGAAAAAGTTCAGCGCTGCTACTGAGCGCTGCCACGATGGAAACAAGAACTTCCAGACTACGGAAAACCAATCAGTGTAGCGAAAGAGAGCATACCTCTAGCACGAGCTGAGTGCTGCCGTTTATAGCGCCGTGGACCGTCGCGCGCACCCTCCAACCCGCCCTCAACCACAGCTCGGCAGAGTCACTGACCAGCAGCATTGGGGTGACGTCGTCTTCCCACCACCTGCCAGACGTGTATCCACACACGAACTCGTCAGCGACCTACAGCACACCAACACCTTGAAGCAACGCATCGGCGCGCATATGTAAGGGTAGAAGGCATGAAACGCAGAAGAAAGGCGAGGGGCCTCAGGTACAACAAATGCTCTCTCGGGATGACCACTACACGCGTCCTTGGCGAATCGTTTTGGAATATCAAACACGAGGACAATGCGCAGCTTCGTTTGGTCGAAAACCTCCGTGCCGCTTTTTCCCGGCGAATCAATCATCTGGCGACGACAGCATGCATGTTCACGAGTACACTCCCCCGGCCGTCATTCTCACCCGAAGGTAACGTTGATGTATATGTCCTGTCCCGCGCCGTACTCCCCATCGACGGTGCTGGAATCAACATCGATAATGTTGGCCGTCGTTGCGCGGACGACAATGTCCTGCATCGATGCGTAGACAAGGAGGGTGAATGGGCAAACAAAACATAACGGGAAGGGTAAAACGAAACGAACAAGTCAAAGCAAAGTAGCACCTACTTGTGAGGATCCATCTCCGTTCTCCACTCCATACACCGGCAGGGAAGAGAACAGCAACGGTAGAAACAAAGGGCTTCAACTTCCCCGTCATTTAGATGAGCCAAGTACCCAAAGCATGCCCTGGGCTCGTTCCGTCTTCTGAGGGGGGAAGACCTGAGAAATTAAGAAAGGTCGCACTCAATCGAGCACCGTGGCGCATGCTCGTCTCCCCTCTGCAAAGCTAAGTTGGACGTTGGCTTCTACACCAGAAACAAGTAGTCACCCCTATCAATGCTCAAGATCCTTCCCTCGCCCTTAACGCAAGGGCTCCAGGTAGGGCAAATCACGCACAGAGCAACTAAGCCCCATAAGCAACCCCCCGCAAGCAGTGGTGCAGGTCCAATGATGTTGAGACCACCGTTGCCACCAACACCAATAGCGCAGCCCCCAATCAACAGACCACGACTAACAGCAACAATAAGAACACCCAACCCGGGACAACAAGGCGTCACCTCATTCTGAGAAAGGCTTCCAGTCGCTCCTGGCTCCGGAAGCACCGTCAACGCCTGCGTGGTGGCGTTCTCAGAAGTTCGGTACAATGCCCCTACCGCAGACGGGGTGGCAGGGTGCGCAAGAACATGGCCAAAATCAAAGAGGAAAACAACCATCAAAGTAGAGTTGCGCACCGTTACGGTCGCGAAAACCATTCATTCAGGGATGGGGGGACGATTTGGATCGAGCAATGCACTGATTTTTGACATCGACGTCCTGACAAGAGGTCACCGGCGAGAAGTAACTCTAATACTCATGTGAGTATGCTCTGCTCTCCGTCTGTCCAAGAGACTATGGGCCCCGGTCACGGCATCCCAAGTCGAGGGGGGGTGGCACCATAGATCACTGACTTGTTTCGCGTACCTCCGTTGAGGTTGAGGGCAGTTGATGACGCATATTCGAGGTCGGAAGTCGAGTCGCCCTCTTGAACCACGTACTTGAAGGTCAGCGTTTGGTTGCCGGACGATAGCAGGTCCACCTTTATTTCGCGTTCGCAAGGCGCATCGCAAGCAGAGGTATATTGGGTGGGCCGCCGTCGTACAACATCTCGCCGAGGAGAGAGACCGAGAGACAAACGTGGCTTGCCATACTGTTTGACGGACGGCAACATCCATTTTGCATCTGTTCTTCTGGGCTTCGAAATGCCATCCGCACGCTGGGGTCTTCTCAACAGTAGATCGCACGCGTGACATTCTTCACGAACGGAAGAGGCTGAATATCGGTCCTGCACAACTCAATTTTAGTTGATAGCGTTTCGTGGCAAATCATCGTTCCGATTCTCACAACAAGCCACTTTATCGTCAACGGAGCCTTAGGTCACTCGCTTTGTCCTGCGTAGCCTACGTTAGGGAAAGATTAAAAGCGCAACGGTACTATCAGCAATGACACTGACTGTGCTACCTATTTGCATTTGACCAGTCGTGTAGGTGACCACCACCACCACCACCAACAACAACAACAACGACGACGACGATGACAACGACGACGACGACGACGACGACGACGACGAAACCGACAATGTTATGGACCAGAGTAGTAGTTGGGAGAGTACTGACGGTTGATGCATGTCGGCGACAGCATATGCGCGCTGAACACACAGAAAACAGGAAAAGTTTTGGAACTGTCTGGCCTACGTTGCGCAGGGAGGGGCAGCTCATGCGACAATACAGTGCATGCTGACGAAGTCCTGTCAGCTCTATCTGGGGTGGGCGTGGGCTGCGAAGAACAACAGCGGATCGCATCCGCACCATACCTCTTGATTGAATACGCCTGTTTCCAGCACCAACGTAGGCTCTCCCTCGAGCGTGACGTCTTGATTGAAAACTACGTCAATCTTGATCACTTCGCCCGTCCCGTACGCCCGAGCCTCGTTGGGAGAGTCAACCTGCCCCGCAATGTTAATGTCGAATAGTTCGCGACGGGGTCACGTCGGGTCGAATCGGATTATTTCACCCCAAACACAAGGAACCACAAGGCTGTATCCACATACCACGGCCACACCTTGAATGCCTCCAAATGGCAATGATACGACGTGTGGCCCGCATTTAGTACCGCAATGTGTCAGCTAAGTTCACCGCCACAACAGTTGGCACCGGTACTATTCGACGTGCAGCACGGGGTAACAATTTCATCAGTCCTTAGCGTTTCACCGTCATTGTACCGAGCACCGGTACTACTGAAAGGGGTAACCAGAACGAACGGTCAGTGTCATGGATGACGCTACGGAGGAAGGTTGCAGCACGTTTCTTCCTGTCCTTGCGTTCCAGTACCCGTGAAGGCGCCAGTCGTCACGGAACAATCTCAGACACCCTGCCACACCCTGTGTTGGATGTTGCTCATCCCCACCAACACTCCGTGCGTTGCATCACAACCTGCCCCTGTGAAACAAGCTCATTCAATCCCACCGAAAGAAATGTTCCCAACTTTACCCTATGTCATCGCACCTGCACGACAAACGGAGGCGACGTGTCGATGACGAGACCCTTGTTAGCCGCGAGGCTGGCACCCGTACCCAGCCGGTACACCGCCGCGTACCCGAGGGGGGGAAGCTCGAGGTTTGCTGCGACCCCGTTCTCGCCCGTGATGGTGGCGTTGTCGGGCAACGCAAGAGACGATTCGTCGTAGTAGTCCAGGTCTGCCGACGAGTCACCCTGTTTCTCGCACGCACACGCGAGGGGGCGTCACGCATCAATTGACACAAAGAAACGCAGAGAACGCGACGAGGGTGGGACGATAGGAGGAAGGATTGACATCGGAAGATGGATGGAGAGAGAGAAGGATACGATTGCGTTTGTGTTGTTCAGTCAGTGGCCCCCTAAAGGCGTTTCGATGGACATGGGTCGACCGTCGGGGGAACCGGAGAACAGGTGGTACCCAACCAAGCAGTCATGCAAGATCACGAACGAGTGATCGAGGACCCTTGTATGAAGGTGCGTTCATTTAGTGCTTGACAACTAGAATGGTGGTGTGTGGCTTAAGTTCTTGCTTTCAGACCAACAATGCCGTTTCGTTCCCAAGAAGAGGCGCTATAAGCTCACCTCTTGCACGACGTAGATAAAGGACAACGTGTCGGTCCCCGATCCCCCGGTGTAGGCGGCCAGGCGATCTGCAGGCTTCCACCCAGGTGTCACTTCTACGGCGGGCCCGAGCTCCACGCCATTGAGCCCGGCATCTCCAACAATGGCTTTGCCGGATTTATCTATGAAATATCCTCCGAAAGAGATGTCCTGTGGTGGCGGTGTGGTTCGACACCGATTTTGCGCAAAAGGTTCGGTGGTGAATCGACATTCATGTACCGTGTGGGAGAATGTGACTTTCAAGGCGTGTGAGATCATCTTCGCATGGATTGTGGGTAGGTTAACGCCGCTTTTGTCACGCCTGCTTGTTTATGTCTTCCTTTCCGGCGGTGCTGGAAGCACAGTTTCACCATCCTGCGTACCCACCAACACTGATACCCCCTTCCCCCCGATTATACGTACGTATCGCGTTAAAAACTGTTTTGGACCATGCCAATACTCTCGGTAGTCGTGGTTATCTACCGAGTTTCTAAGCTCCCAATATCGAGTAGATAGCTCAGGCAATGACCGCCTTCGCTTGCCATGAAGTACTGGTACACGAGTTAGTTTTAGATACCGACCTTTTCCGCTCGTTCTGGCTCCTCCTCTTCCTCGTTGAGCCAGCCGTACCACAGGCGGTGACGATTGCCCCAACTCATTCCGGTATAGCTGTTCACGGGAGAGTTCAAGTAGTCCAGCTCCAGCAGCGGCAAGTTACCATCATCTCCCTAGCGGTGTGCACAGGAGACGGAACAAAACAGAGAAAGCAGCGGGAACACAGCCTTCGGAAGGCAACTCCTCAATTCTCCAGAGCCCTGTTTAATCTCGCGCGTTTGTTGTATTTCGCACCAACACACTGGGTCGTACTCATCTCCGAGAAGCGTTGAGCAACTAGTGAACGGGCGAAATCGCCGAACGGTGCGTCGTGTTGTGTACAAGCAACACGTGGGAGCAAGGCCAAGGCGGGGTGTCGAACCCCGTTCAATAAACACACCTCAACGGGGAGCATTGCATGTGGAAGCAACACTTTTTCGCAGCAAGATATTTCCTGCTTCCCTGTCTCCCACGTTTCATCAATCACCTTCCCTGAACCCTGTTGTGATCTAACCTCGTCTTCTGTCCCAAGCAGGCGGGTATACGACATGAGCATCTACCACCGTATCCCCTTTATCTGCCTATGTCCGATAGACAACTTCAGGAACTGGCCCGTCGAAACGCGACATCGCGGTTCGTTGTCAGACGAACCCCCCCCGAATCATGACCGCAGGAGGAGAGTGTTTCTCGTTCTCGTCCGTTTCACCCACCTCCATCGAAATGCTGTCGAAGGTGACGGTCACTGTCGTGCCGTTTTCTGAACAGGCGCCCCTGCTGCCCAATATCAAGCCGGCGGTGCTTGCTCTGCCCGGGTCTTCGACCGTGGTAGTACCCTCCATCCAAGTACTATATTCCACGGTTGTTCGCTCGATCCCGGAAAATTCTTGAAGGATTCGCCTCAAGCCCTCCTGCGTGTGACCAGTTTACCGGCAACAACCGTTTGAAAAGCACACGCAGCCGGACACGTTCGAGAAGCCGGTAAAGCAGATGAGATGACATGAGAAAACGCATACAATGAATGAGCTAACTACCACCGGTGGGACTGCGGAATGATGCAAGTACCGTCATGGCCATATCGTCCGCGGTGACTCCACAGCACTTGCATTCATCTGATTCTTTTCGTTCTATCCAATGCTGATGCAATCAGGCTCTCACCAAAGCAGATGCGAACAGGCTACAGGCCTGCACTCACCGAAGGATGCTGTGGCTATGGTGGCTACAAAGTACCGAAGAGTAAACTTGCCTCGCTAACGCCCGCATCGATGTTCGGCATGGTCTCTCCATTGAAGCTAATGGCGAATTCTCCCCTCGAAGCCCTTGGTGCAGAAACGTCGAGTTTTACGCGGACGGGAACAAAATGAGCAATACAAACACGACACGCCTACAGGAGGGAAGGTTTCGAAATGCTTCCAGCAAGGCAGAAAGGTTGCATGAAATGGGGACTGAGCATGCGTGGAGATGACGTATGGACAATCTGTTCATTGACTATGACCCCCTTTCATGCCGCAGTTGTCCCAGGTTTATATGTCATGAACGACTCTAATAACCACCAACAGAGGAGAAGCTCGGGCGGTGTCTGCCGCTGAGTGCTTACCGCTCCCCCTTGGTTTAAAACTACAACCTCCAACTCGCCTGCAGATGAAACTCTGAACCTCCGGCGTGCTGCATGAGTCATCGTGACAACCAGTCCTCAGCCTCAGGGTCGGCGAGCCTTCCACTTGGACGACACTCGAGAATCTGTTGGTCGATGTATGTTTTGTCATGGGTGAAGGTAGGTGTTCCTTTGAGCCGTGCGACGTCCGCGACGGTGTGACCGAACAAACTGATCCATCGATCTGTACGTGTAGCCAGTCGCTGAGCGGTACGAAGTCGATGGTAAGGTGTCACTACAGCAAACCGTTATTTCCCTTGTTGCAGACCATCAAGGTAGAGGTGCGCTTCCTTCAAACTAGGCAGAGGTCTGGCAACGGGAAACACGAACAAAGAACTTCGACGCCCTACATGCATCGACGCGAATCTCAGGGCTTCACAATATGAACGGATTGCTTCTCCATCGCTGGTGTTCGGCGGTTGTATGCGTCTGCACGGTGTCCCGGTGCGCTATTTGATGCGTAACACCTGCCTCTCTCCGCTTACGCCTGATCGGCGCAGTAGTAGAGGCCTGATGCCGCCCACAACGGCGATCTAATTGCGCCTCCATCGGTTTGTCTGAAGTATTGCGGTGTGACCCTAGTGTCCCTGGTGGGACCATAATACGAGACCTACGTGTCCCCGGGAGATTTTCTTGGCAGAGTCAGTGGATATCTCTCACCTAACGTCGATGGTTACTTGGCTTCCCACCCCGTAAGTCTCGTCCGCCTCCGAAGACGTAACCTCAACTATCGGGAGTGCGAGGGCAGCGTCGATTCCAAGCTCGCGAACGGGCACCTGAACAAAATGTCCACTGGGTCAATAGAATATTCACTAGCATCACTGTGCTGTGTGTAGCCCACTGCTTGTAGTCTATTGACAACGGCTCTGATTCACAGGTGCCGTAACTGAATGCCATGGCTGCAGGAGCGTCAGGCTAAAAAAAAGTACGGTAGTGAGCCCTCAACAACACCGGTTGAACAACGCCGGTGGCCCCATATGGCGCCGGTGAAACAGACTGAATCGCCAAGCCATTATGTACTTTGAATAGTAGCTCCGGTCTCTCTGAATAGCGCCGGTCGATTCGCCGGCTTCGTGCCGGCGTTGCTGAGGGCCCACTCTGTACATTCAAGAACTTGACCATATAGGAACAGATGCACCCTACACTGAAACCTTTAGTCGCTGTTGGTATACCCCCTCAGAAAAAAGGACCGAGCCTCGGGCAGCGTGAGAGGGTGGCACGTTCTGCATTCTCTGCGCTGCAGCCCATTACCGTTCTTCAACGTACAATGTTGCGTTACATGTGTAGTCTATCGTACGACGGCGTGGCCAGGAAACAAGTGCAACCCTACGAATGTCAGGTTGGCGCATGGTGACATTTACGCATGGCACCTCCCTCCCGTTGTTCCCTCTGTTTGCAGTTTGCAAATATGTTGTGGGACGATACCATCATGCATAGCGTGTCCATTGAAGTCTCACGTGTGAAGACACCCAAAGGCATCTCGCATGCACACGACTATCATAACTCACATCGATGGGAAGATTGACCTCGCACTCCCCAGGAATGCTGATATCTGCCCTCAGATCCAAGCCAACACCATAGTTGAGGTGTGCAACCGCGGAGTAAATCGCACCGGGTCGGGGCTGCTGACGGCCATCACAGCTCGCGCTGAGGTTTTCAGACGCGCTTCTTGAGGCTTGGGCGCCCTGGACCGCAATCAAACGCCTCGAACCAACGTCGGGTGAGCCAACGTTCAAGATCCATAGTATCACCAGGAATCTTTGAATAGTTTTGGTTCCGTGTCTCCGCAGAACGTGTCGTTGGGTCAGAGGTTTCAAGTCATGCCACCATGGGTGGTGCAAGCCGCCGATCATCCCGCTGAGAGCTGAGAGTGCACCCTCTCCTCAACAGCTCAGCAGACAAGAGGGAGAATCGGTGGGTCTCCACGATCTCCAAATGGATATTGGAGGCATTCCTCAGCCGGGATGGCCGGGGACACGCCGGGCTGCGGCCACCGAGGCAGAGAGTGCACGCTCTGGTGGATGCACCCACTTCCGCACGCACCGCGCGAGATAACACCTTGCCTACCAGCTTGCTAAGCACACCATCCTCCCTGGGAAGAAACACCTGTGACCCTTGCATGCCTACTTCAACAAAGTCTCGAGTCTAGACCAGTCTAGAGGGCTTAATGTGTAGAGAAGCGCAGAAGTGGGAAGCGGGAGTGCGGGAGTGGGATTGAAAACGCGGAGGAACCTGAGAGAGTGAGGAACTTGAGGAACCCACCAATAGCAAGACAGCATCTCTCCTCCGAGCCGCCGAGATCCTCTTGCAGACTGGGCAACACGGCTGGGACAATGGATGACCTACTTCAACCAACATGCTGGGCAGGGATGCAGGTGTGTAGTGTCTCGTAGTTTCATACATAGACCCAGTACGCCACACGCAATGCAAATCAGCACATTGACATTTAGTCTGTACAAGTCTGCTGTAAGTTGCTTTGTACTTCCATCGCACCGCCCCGGCTACAGCAGTCTATCGTAGGTTGCATAGATATCAACCCCCTTGGACCGAGTTCAAAACTCGCACTTGGCAGGAAAATCAGTGGCGGAGCCGGAAATCATTGGAACTGCCTCGTCGAGGGCTTTATCGTACAGCAGTATCATATTCATGTCGGCATCCTCCTCGTGCCACACTTGAGGTTTGAAATTCAGTCCAGGGAGGTGTGGTGTTCTCCGCAATCTACCGTACACACCAAGATATGCCAAGATATGCAGCAACTCTTGTACCGAGCGGCCTTTCCTACTATGCAACACTCCTTGTACAGGGAGGGGCGGACCGTGGTTGTAGCGTACCGTAGTGCTACGGCACCGAGTCTTGCTGATCATCAATACCTGCTCCCCAGGCGATGGGCACCCTGCTGGGTACGATGTTTGGATTTGTGTCTGCTGCTCTTCTCACGCCGATCGACGGGGGGGAGAGAGAGCACGGGTTGCCAGCTGCACCTGGCGTGGTGAGTTTCCATTAATAACTCGACCACCGCGCGTGTTTTCCCAGCGAACCAAGCTTCACCATGTGCAGTCTTGCTCAGTAACGCGGCCAATGTTGGTTTTCCACAAGTGGTACGTTTTGACAAGAAGTTATCGTTATTTTTGACTCACTTACATACCGTAGCCTCTTCGTCGTTACCCTCCACACGCGTTCTTGTATCTTTCTTTGACCGTGTCCGTACTCACTACTGTCGTGTGGTACTCAGTTTGATACCAATTCTGCCCGACCCACGCTGCAGTGGAATGTGTGGGATGTGTCACTCCTGCAATCGTACCCAATCAAGCCCACCATGTTCCAACCGTTGACTATGGTAGCTTAGGTTCTAGCCCTGCCTTGTCGATGTGACGATGATTGCAGATTATGGGATCCTCTCTCGGGGTACTTGCAGCCTATTCGGCAGGGGAAGGGACTCAGCCGCTCCGACAGCTGCTCTACCTTCTGCTGCTCAGCGTGGGGGCAGCCGCAGTGACAACCGCAGCATGTAGCTGGCTAACGGGCGATGTCTTACAGAATGTGAGAGCGAATGCAGCAGAATGATGCTCGTAGTTGTTGAGAACGTGTGGACGAACTCTTTGTGTTCAATCAAGACGGCATTTACCGTAGTTTTTTATGCATATATCATACGCGTTGTCGTCCATGTGAACGTTTAGTGCCGTCGTTTCTTGAATCGACCCACGGTTGTGTGCTTGGTGCCCAGGGCGGGAGCGTCGGCATCATGGTGCTGGCAACAGTGGCGTCGCTAGGCTCGACGGCGGTCTTCACCATTGACAAGCACAACATGCTGCTCACACGAGCAGCCACGGCTGCGGCATTCGATGACCGCGAGCGACACGAAGGATTGCCACATCTCCAAGAGGAGTCCTTGATGGATCTCAAGGCGGTCTGAAGTGTACGACTTCAAGTGGTCTGGTTAGGAGCGTTAGACTTCAGTAGTTCGGTGATTCCTTGTAAAATTCGTACAGAGCATAGAGTGATTGTGTAAGGTTCAGAGCGTAAGTGTTAAAAGGCCAATGCGGTCAGGCCACGTTGGAGGGCTTGGTGTGTGCTGGTATGATCTGGTATGATGAGAACGAAGAACTTGCTGTTGGAGTGTGTAAGTTTGTCGGCGAAGGGCCCTCTCACGTTATGCTACATACTCGACCACGGGTTGGAATAAACGGCACTAGTGCTGTGAGCGCTGATTTGAAGTGAAAAAAAAAAAAAAAAAATACTCGACACGAGGTTTGGGGGACCCAGCGCAAAAATCTACCGTTGGCGCAGATTTGTCCTCGCACTCTACCTGCCGTGCGGTGAGGTCATGTGCGTCGTCTCTGTGGGTTGATTCCACCGCGGTACCGCCTGCTGCTTTGTCTTGCGGCCCACTGAAATCCGGATTCAAGTTACACTCGCTGGTCGATATCGACGTGGGTGCGCGGGCGCCGATTGATGCGGCCTGGCCACCGTTGTCTGCGAGCGGTCGGGATACTGCTACTTTGCCGTGTGGGAGTGCAGAATATTTCATGCGTACCAAGAGCATATTCGGCGAGAAATGCCAAGGGTGTGGCCGAGGGCACTTACAATGCGTAAGCTAAATAGGGGTGCTTTCGTCAACACCCTTTCCTACATTAAAGATCCATCCCGGATGTTCGCTGCATCTGTGGACCGTTCTTGGTACAACCCCCGGACCGAAGGAAATCTATTCGTCAGGTCTCCAGATCTCTTCCCGGTGTTGAATGTGTGTACAAAAGAAAAATGTCCTGGGTGGCTGGCTTCCGCAAAAAGGATCAATTTATACAGCTCTTCCTCAACTTTCTATTAGGTACAAAAAACACCCCCAACCGATTTTCGCTTGCGTCCACTCTCTGGAGAGCCTGGACAAATCACGGCGGCCACAGCCGTTGTCGAGCCGAGACAAATCTCAACGACGTCCTACAGTAGAGTCTCAAAACACATCCAAAATACACCATAAATGGGATAACAAAAACGGCCGCCCTGCCCCGATACGAACCATTCCAGTTTATCTACCCCTCTCTTCCCCCACAATGCTGGCTCATATGTAGCCGACTATTTTTGGTCTTTCTTCTTGAACATGTCTCGGTCGCGGGCACTTTGCTTGGCAGCTCTCGCGCCTGACAATGCCCCGAGCTTGGCCTCGTCGTTCATAACGTCCCCCAGGCTCCCCTGAAGCAAGCCGATGCCCAGCGTGAGAACGAAGCCGACTGCGAGCGGCACCCACATCGGCGGAAGGTCGCTGCTGACGACTTCACCGACCTGTCACACATATTTACGGGTTTTGGGTACGCGTGCATCGGAAACGATAGGTAGTCACGCACAAGTCGTCGCACTGGGTGTCCAATCATGCGGTCGTACTTCGCCGGCAAGCTTTACAGGCTTGAGAGGGAGGCACCAAGCGTCTCGAGCCGGGCGTGTGCAGTTGCTCCTCGGAGCTAGAAAAATAGCTCTGACTCCGGAGGATTTGCTAACCTATGAATTGCGCCGCAGACCTGCTGGGTGGAGGGGCAACGAAATACTTGCGCGCTCCAACCTACTCCCCGCAGCTTAGACTTCCAAGTACTGTTGAACTCACTCGTGACAAGCTGACAGCTGTTACAGTGGACGAAAAAACAAGGACCATTGCAATCGATCGCCCTGTTTTCTCCATCTCTATGTAGGTGATTATAAAGTAGCATCTCACATCGTCGGGATCAATGTACTCTGCTAGCACACTGGACGCTCCCGCAAACCCTGTTGCTGCCGTGAACGACGCCCCTTGCAGTGCCCTTTCGAATTGCCCTCGTGGCCGCGGCGCCTGCCCTTTGGAAGCAGGAACAACGTCCGTCGCGTCGAAGACCTGTGCATGGACGGGTGCGACAACAGAGGTGCATGTGGTTTGGTTGTGTTTCACGCGAGAGATGGATCGAGCGAAAGACAGCAGTCACATTAGAGGCTGCTGACCTCTCCCACCACTACACACCCGGGCAGATGGCAACGAGGAGACAGATGAGAGACAAGTGTGTGCGCGCCCTATTCGGTGCGAAAATACGTGTCGTGCCATAGAAAAAGCTACAGCCGTAGTGGAGGAGCAGAATAGAGGAGAGAGGGGCACATAACACCGACACCCACGCACACCCTGCTACACAACACTGATTTACAGCGGCACTTGGAACCCTCTCTACAAATGTGTGCGTGTCCAGAGAGCGACCTGCTAGTCCTTCCTCCGTTACACGACACTCTTCACTCTTGTCACATTGTCGGAACTATGAGCGTAGGCGGGCATGCTTTCTTTTTCGGACCGCGCTGGTTTTAATCATGGTCACTCCCCGCGAGCACACACACACACACTTGTAGCCTAGTCAAAAAGTGACTCAGCTGGTACATACTCTCGCAGTGTCAAACGAGCTCGGCTATTTTGATCGACGTCCGCTTTCACCCCGCCGTATCCTAAAAAGCGAGAGGTATACCCTGCCACGGCTACTTTTCTCCAGAAATGTACCCTGGCCTGACGGGAAATGCGAACCTTTCATCGACCATTTACTCCGCAGGAATCCTTTTCCCTTCCAACATTGAGATACCAAACACCAACTCTTCTCGTTCGAAATCAACGCATGGAAACCGGGCAGAATTCGATCACGACGGATGTTCCACCCTCGCAAAAAAACACAACCATCAACTTTTCCCGCTCTAACAAATGATTGCTGGCATGCCAGCACATTTCCGTCAGGAGAGCATCCGACATGTACGTACGTGAGGTACGTATGCGAGATACGAGTCACGCTCAGAACGCCAGACCAATCCGGCATCGTTGAATTGCCGACGTATTTTTTTTTGTGTATTGGCGTATGTGTGGCGGGGAACTCTCGTGGCCGCGGACGGGCTGAAGGACACACACACCCGCGTTGAGGATCCCGACGCCTGTAGATTACCGTTGCCCTCGACCTGCCGAAGATGGCAACGTTGTGAGCTACAATCCGACCACTCTCCGCCTCTGGGGTGGACATGTGAACACCGTCGCCATCCAACAGTACGCATGTCGAGGATGACGACGGTGTTCACATATCCACCCCAGAGGCGGAGGATGGTCGGATTGTAGCTCACAACGTTCCCATCTTCGGCAGGTCGACGGCGACGGTACAGGAGTCGCGGCCCGGAGGATGTGTCCTCAACGCGGGTGTGTGTATCCTTCCGCCCCTCCACGGCCATGAGAGTTCCCCGCCACACACGCGCAAATACACGAGTTTTTTTTGTGCGTCGACATTTCAACGATGCCGGATCGGTCTCGCGTTCTGAGCGTGACTCGTGTCTCGCATATATCTCACATACGTAAAGGTCGGCTGTTTTCCAGACGAAATTGGGCTGGCGTGTGCCAGTCATGGTTGAGAGCGGGGTAATCTGGTGGTTCATGTTTTACCGGGGCGGAAAATCGGAAAATCCGTCCTGATCGCTGACCGATTTCTGCCCAGTTGCCATGGTTGATTTCGAGCGAGAAGAGTTGGGTGTTTGGTATCTCATGGTTGGAGGGGAACGGTGAAAGGGATTCCTGTGGAGGAAATTGTCGATGAAAGGTCAGGGTATATTCCGCACTCGTGGTACTTGTTGGAGAAAAGTAGCTTGGGAGGGTAACCCCGCCTTTCAGGACACGGCGGCGTGACAGTGGACGCTGGCCAATCAACTGAGCTCGTTTGATGCTGCCAAATGCAAAGTTTAGCAGGAGTACATACCCAGCTGCTGAGTCGCTTTTAGAGCAGGGTATACCCTTTTGTGTCGTTTAGCCATTACATACCGGCGGTAGGTTACAAGTGCGTGCGTGTTAGCGGGGAGCCATCTGTGATTCAGACATTAAAACCAGCGCGATCCAAAAAACACAGCAAGTTCGTCAGCACTCGTCGTTCAGATAATGCAAACAGTACAGTAGTGGAGGGCTTCAATGATGCCGGTATGCGCCAATTTAGCGCATCGACCGATCGACCGGCGCTAGTCAGAGGGACCGGCGCTATCCAATGTACAGAATGACTTCGTGGTTCATTCCGTGCCCAACAAGTTCACTGGTGCCATACAGGCCACCGGCGCTATTCAACCGGCGACGTCCCCCCACTACTACTGTACATCGCGAAGAGTCGTGCAAACGGAGCAGGGCACGAACAATACTGCTGCTGCGTGGTACCTTATACTTGTTGTAAAAAAAAAGGTACTTCTACACCGCCCCCCAAATCCGTACCGCCATTAGACTACGAGTTGTAAAAAGCAGCCTATGGGGCAAACACTGCTGTAGAATTTCAACACTGCTTTGTACCAAAGCTGCTTCACTACTCAGTATTTCAAACCACAGCGGTATGCATACTAAGCTGCTTCACTACATACACACTCAAAATCTACCGTATACGACACAAGATTACACACACCCTGGACCGATTATCAAAGTTCGATTACTCCACGACGAAGAGGATGCATAAACGAAACGATATGCATTTTCGGAGAGCTCTCGATCAGACGGCTTCAACGCCGCCATTTTCGGCGCTGGGACTCTCTCTGGTTTTGATAAATCGATAAATCGAGCTTTGAAATCGGTCCTGTGTGTGTTATCTTGTGTCGTATACGGCTACCCCTGTATGCATACATTCTTGTTACAATTGCTGTTCATGATGCACTTGGCTCTGCACGGACACACAATATGTCCCTAAACCTACAACAAGTAGTACATTGATTGTACTCCAGCAAAGCACCACCTGTCCAGAAGCGGGCGGATGTTGTTGCAGCGCGTGAGCCTGCTGCGAAGGTCTGACAGCCATCATGCTTGGGACCGTGAAAGCTTGCGCTGATCGCCGCAAGACAATCGCCAGCATGACCAAAGACGCACGCCCCATACCAAACTTCATGGTGAGAGTGTGGTATATCTGTGTGATGGCGTGTGCCGTGCAGTACTGTGTGTAGTTATCGCATGTTACCGAACGCCGCCGGCTCACGTACGTCTGAAGCGTTTTGTATCCGGACAGATGGCATTCACGGGGAGGGTGCGTCATCGCTGTTTTTTTTTTTTGCTCGCAATCCAGACGGCCCGAGCAAGGACGCACAGCCCCCCCCACCACACCAGCCGGACGTTTTGGCGATTGTAGGTCAAACGAAAACACACGCAACATTGTGACCTCACGGAACCACGAATCACTTGCCGAACAAACTACTCCCCCCCAAAGACCCGGCATCATGAAAACCGTTAACAATGCTGTTGGCCGACCTCTCCCTGAAGCCAAGGCCTCGAAGCTGCCCAGGCACTCCAAGGAGAACCCGGACGTCAGGCACACGTTCGACCGGAAAGGAGACTGGAGCCTCATGGACGCGGCGAGGTGAGAGAGAGAGAGCAGAGACGGTTGCGTTCCTCCATGTAGGCCTCACACTCCGCGCAAGAAGGGCGTGGCAGATGTCACCCGAGGGGAAAAGCTGGAGCGACTTGGCCGCGAAGACTTTCCTTGTCAGGGATCTGTGATTTGACTAGAATGCGTCTGTCTGCTACGTGTGTGGGGAGAGATGTGCATGCATACGTATGGTTTGAATTGTTCTTTCTTGCCGTGGGTAAACAAAATTCCGCAAACGTAGTCAACAAAATCATTCCTTCTCGGGTTTTTTTAGCCGTAATTTCCTTTCAGCGCGGAGATTTTCGCGCCCCACGTCTGGAACCATCTCCCATCACAGGGTAAATGGAGATTTCCTCAAAACCGCTTGCTTGTGGTGGGTCAAGGTGCTATTCTCGCCCCTGAGAACCATGCAACCTCGGCTCCGGTATTGGGCTATACTCGGGCGGCAATTCCTGCGCCCATTGGTGTACGTATTTCATGTAACATCTTGTCACCCTTTCAGTCCACCCTTGGTTGATCTTGTGACCACGCCGATCTTCGGTCAGCACCACCAGCCCTCCGGCGGACTCCAGGCTTTTTTTTCTCTGTGGACTAAGTTCAACAGCCCTCTTTTGAGACATGCAGACTTTATCCATAAATCAGCTGTTTCCTCTCGGTTGGCGAGTTACTGGCGTGGTGGCCTTTTGTTCGGCAAAACATCGGAAAGGCGGTGGTTGCTGTGAAATTGAAGCGCGTGCCCCGCTCATGTCGGTATACATAGCAGGCACCGGGTAGAAACAAAAACTGTTATTTTGCCCTTCCCATGGAGGTGTGTCGTGTTATGGCATGGTTTGCGTTAAGAAATCCATGTCAGCGTATCCGGCCGGGCACGCTGTGTAGTTGGTGGTTAATGGTCTGTGGCCACCGAGAAAAGCGTTCACTCAACCATCGTGCTACGTGTGTGTACGAAGCAACTGCGGCACGAAACCGCAGCAATACCACAATACCACCGAGCGCATGATCATTAGGAAACATGCGCAGAGGACAGCTTGTGAACGCTTCATCATCGCACAGCATAGGCTGCAAGTCCAGTCGGTGTTGTGCCCCTCAGGCCGAAACTTCAAGGGTACCGTAAGTTTCTCCGAAGGGCATGTACTGCTATCTGTCAAAGATCGGAGAGGAGGCGGACGAAAGGGCGCCAAGAATGCAAGATCGACACGATCCGTTTCGCACTTTTGGCACAAGATGGGTGGTTGGTTTCTCACGTGCGATCGAAGACAAAGGAAAAAATTGCCCCAAGACGGGGACGAGAACACAACAACAACAGCCATGGATTACTCTTTTGACTTTTGACAGCGCTCTACTGTAGGCCGACTACATATGTTTTTCCGACCAGAAGCCCTTTCACCCGGGCCCCCGGACCATTTGCCGAAATTACTAATCGCTCCTCGTTGCTGCTGCTGCTGCTGCTGCTGTTCCTTCGCACTTCTGGCTTTCGTCGACAACCCCCGACCCAACCAGGTGGCACGATTCCATGTACTATGAGGGGAGCTACTTCTGGCAGCTATTCCACGACACGCAGGTCTACACACGTCGTGCCACCTCCATCTATTGCGGCCCCCCGGCCAGGTACGTGCCTCCCATGATGTGCCTGCTTTGCTTGACCGTTACCGGACGATGACCTTCTCGTGCTGATGCACTTATATTACTATTTATTCAGCATATTTTTTTTTGCCGTCGAATTCTTTCTGCGGGCGGGCGTGTGTTGCTCGGTCTGACGTGTGGGGGCGGGTGTGCTGCCGTATGTGTGTCATTGTTGGTTTGGGGATGAGCGGGTGTCACCAGTCACCACTGCTGCACCAGCTGCCTGAGATGTTGAGATGCGGAAGCGCAAAATGGGTCTATTTTGCCGAGAAACTTCCTCAACGTACAAAATCTACCTGTACACTACATATGAGGTTAATTTGACATTCAATATATGCATGTTGTGCCAATGTGTGGCCCTTTGCTGGCGGCGAGCTCGCGCCCGCAGATAGGGTGGAGGGGAAAGGCAGGACCAGCACACACAGACACCCCCTTGACATCAATCACGCACACACGAGTCTTATCCTTACTCTAGCAGCAGGACACTGCTGTGTCGTCCAACTCAATCACCCTCCCTGTCGGTAGATAGAAGAAAGAGTGCTCGCGTTGTATTTCATCGGCTCATCCCGCTGAAGCCTGACGTCTTTTTACTACGCTGATTGATTGGTTGGCTGGTAAGCGTGACCGCTGCTGCTACAGCAGTAGTTCAAGCAAGAAACACGTCGCAGTTGAGACACAACAGACAACACACGCACGCACACATGCATATTTATGCATGTCAACCATGCTGGATCGATCTCGCTTTCATAGCGTGACCCGTGCATCTCGCATATAGACTGAAGCAAGCAGTAGTCCACGGGTATTGTACGCATGTGTCCATGTTTCCAAATGGAACAATTGTGCTGGGGTATTGCCCGGCCATTGTTGATTTAGAGCGGAAGCATTGATGGTTGGTGTTGTTTCGCAGGGGCGGAAACTGATTCCTGCCCGGTTGCCATGGAAGTTTTTTGGCGCGAAGATTCGCCGTTCGGTATCCCATGGTTGGAGGGGGAAAGGACTCGGCACTAGGTTCCTCACCCCACATCTACCCTACCCCTAACCCTCACCCACGGCCAAAGCACGGCCTAGCGGCCGCGAACTGGTCGAGAACGCGGCTGCGCCGCGTTCTCGGAATGCGGAACGGCGAGAGGGCGCTGGAGAGGGTCAAGGCTAGGAACCAACGCCGGACCAATCAGAGGGCGTAAAAGCCGTTAGATAGGAAGAGTCACTAACAGATTGCAAAAACTGCTGTTGGGAAGATTCCTGCGGGGGAAATGATTGATGAAAGGGTCTCATTTCCCGTCAGGTCAGGGTACATTTCCGAAAACAGGGTACAGTTGTTGAGAAAAGTAGTCACGGCAGGGTATACCCTGGGCCTTTTCGGACGCACCGGGGTGAAATTGGGCGCTGACCAATGATATGAGTGCATTTACTGCTGTTAATGACTTGCGTACCCAGGTGTGTCGCTTTTCGACCAGGGTATATACCCTGTTGTGTCGCTTTCCCTTTTAATTGTTCGGCGTTTGCAGCACCCCTCGCAGTATCCGACCCCTTGCTCCAAATCTATGGGGCTCCAAGGTGCAAAGGATACCATGCACGTCCAGGATCCCTAAGTTGTTGTCTTGTCCACGTTTAGAAAATTATTCCGGTCTCTGCTGCTCAGCACCTTCTAACATCACCAGTCCATGACGCAGACGTCTGCGGTAGTCACAGCCCAAATACTGACAAAAGGGTACAATGCATACTGCGAAGTACTTTTTTTTACACAAGACACCTACATAACACAATTCTACAAAATGGGATTAGATTCGAAGGGTCTTTCTTTTGTCCGTTTCGAAACAATGTCCCCAACTCGTACTGCTGTATCCTGCAATGACGTCCGTTTATCTCGGGATGGAAATGCTTGTTTGCGGATCCGACAACCGAAAACGCGTTCGACACCTGTCTTCCGGCGCATGTGTGAGGACGATCTTACAAAAAAATTCTCAATCGACGCCAGGTGTGATTATATTGGGCAGTATAATAGTGTGGGGCGCACCCAACCACGGTACCGTAAGCAGGTTCTCTTTTGAGTTCACTCGGACTGACTTTGACGAGCTTTGCTCAGGGTCGGTGTTTTGTGTTTTCGCCCTATTTATTTTGGCGACAGCAGTAGTCCCCCCATTTTTTCGTGGTGAGACGTGTACTACACTTTTCAGCGTATGTATGTATGCATATTTATTTGCGTATGCATAGCTTTTGTGACTAGGAAAAATTCAGTGTAGAGGCATAAAATAGACCCAAAATAAACCCAGTAACTAGCGGTTTTCTTCCTGTTCACTGTCAAGACTTAATAAACGTCTCAAATGGGCAGTCTCTCTTTGATCGTACTTTCTAAAAGTTTGAACTCAACTTCACACAGCACACAACGGGCTCCACAGAGTCAACCATGAGCAAAAGAATGCCGTACAAAGGGCGGAGAGATGGCACCGGGTGCGAAGAGTGTTTTAAATGTTTTTTCCTCTGAATGTTTCTCTCACCCCGGTGCGATCTCTCCGACCTGTGCCATCTCCCCGCCCCCGGTGCGGAGATGCAATTTAATCGTTCGGCTTTTTGAAGGCACGGTGCGATCTCTCCGACCGGTGCGATGCGCAATGATCTACATGTAGGCACAGCCGGCCCACTGGTGCTCGGCGGTGTTTGTATGCACGCCACCCGGTACGATCTCCCCGACCGGTACCATCTCTCCACCTCGTACGTAGTATTGCTTCTATTAATAGTTTACCTACAAGGAGACAAGGGCGTGCGGTGTACGTACCGTTGTTGCTGGGAGAACACCGGGAACAACTGCAAGACGTAGGCTGGAACGTAGCAGCTTTGCATGCAGCGAGTGGTCATAGGGTTGAACGCGATATTTTTGTTTGTACGGCGGAACAAGGATACACACAAACGACGTGGTTTCCATCTCAGGAAACGGCACACACGGCACCAGGTTGTTCCTCGCTTCTTCCTCTACAATGCCAGTACGCACGCAGCAGTCCTTGGAAATCGTTGTGTGTAAGGTTGCGGCTTGTGTGTTTTGTGTAAGGTTGAGTGCACGGTTGGCAACTTCAAACAAACTGACATCCCCGCGTCAACCGAGACCGTATGGAGAGGAGTGGCGCTCCGCTGACACCGTCTCCACAGGTGAAAGGCACGCACATGTACCTCTTTCCGGCAGATCAAATCACGAGCTCAATCTTTGGATTTGGAGGTGGACGAGATCGCCCCGGGTGCGATCTCACCGACCCCAATGCGGGAATCGGATTAAATCATGCCGGCCTTGTTTTTTTTTGCGCACCCCGGTGTCATCTCTCCGACCGATGCCATCTCCCCGACCGTTGCCATCTCTCCGCCTTTTACGGCGTGTCCTCCTCGTGTGCTGTCCAACATCAGCGCGACATGTAGTAGCAGCGGCAGCAAGCTGCCACAATTCCGCAAGGATGTAAACCGCGGCATATACCCTCGTTTTGGTTTTGCGCCCCTCCCACGGAGGTTATGCCGTAGGGTGTTTCCCGCCCGCGCAGCTCTCAAAGGGCGCACTGGCCGTAGCCCCTTCTCCCATCACAATTGCAAACCAGCGCAACCTCAACCACAGACTATTCATTGCTGTGCCGCACACTCAACCTCCAACTCTAGGTCTGGTTTTGCTACAAAGCATTTAGGACCCTTGAAGGTTTTCGGTACCAGGTACTGTTCTCCCAGATTTCTATGGATCGTTCCGCTCTAATTTTTTGTCTGGATGTGAGGTCTTGGTGCACAAGTCCGGTTAGGACCAACCCTTGAAACATTACTGTCCGTTCCAAAACAGTTTTCGCAACGCCAATTTTATCCCGCAATATTTATGCCCGTTTTTCTTGTCCGGACTATTTTTGCTTGTTTACGGATCCGACACGGAAAACGCCATTCGACACCTGTCTCCCGGCGCATGTGTGATGATGATCTTGCAGTATGTCTTGTTTAGTCAACGCCAGGGGTGGTGATATTGGGCAATGTGGGGCGCACCCGGCCACGGTACTGTATTCAGCAGTCAAACGCTCCCTGAGGATCGTTTTGTTCGCGAGTGCGTCCGCGTGGACCCCACGCTTCTTTAATGTCCATGCGGTTCATTCACGTTGTCGTGTGTTTTCTTTTTTTTGTACTCCCACTTCCTCGTCTTTGTGACGACGACAGGAGTTTCTCCGTCGAGGTTGGTTGCGGGACGGGCGATGTCATCCTTAGCCTGGCGTCCGACTTCAAGCACAGCCTGGGAATCGACATCAACGACGGCTTCTTGGCGTACGCTCAGGAGCAGACCCCAAAGGAGCTCAAGGATAAGGTATGTGTCAGGGGGGGGGGGGGCTTGAAATAATGCAGGTGTAAGCAGACGGGGTGGCATGTTTGTTGTTGTTGTCGCTGCTGCTGCCGCTGGTCTCTTGCGGTTGTTTGGCCCGGCCAGGTATCGCCGCGGCTGACGAAACGCGTGTGGATTGGTTGATCTCGTCCTCGGTGTCTTGGATACCCGGGTGCATGGCGTGGCTCGACACATGCCTCGAAGCCTGCTGATCGCGAGTACAACACTGGCTTTTGCCGACCCGCTCGCCCACGCCACCTTACACCCGGTAGACCAAGCGTGCCGAGCAGCAAACAACACGTGGACGTACACGGACCGCGACCTTTTTCATTTGCCGGCTGGTTTGCGCGGTCGATGCAGACCAAAAGAAGCGCGCGCACACATGCACAAGCGCCCCCCTCCCCCCCCCCCCCCCCGTTGTTGTTCGGTGTGGCGCGCAGATATCGTTCTGCAAGGGGAGCGCGACCGACCTCATCGACATCGTTAGCGCCCATCCTTCCATAGACAACACATCCGCGCCCACCGTGGTGACGTGCGTCAACAACACCATAGGGATCTTCCCGGATGCGATCAAATCCCGCACGTACTCACAGGTGTGCCTGCGAGAGCCTGCCCGCCCGTGAAGAGCGTTTGCGTTTGCGTGTGGTGGAAGGATGCACTGAGGCGTTTTAGGTGCTTGGTACGCATGCAATTTTTGTGTTTTTTCGTGACGACACAGCAGTGGATGTATAGGGCCGATGCGTTGTGAGTTTGGTGATGGTACGAAATTCCACTAGGGATAATGGTGAAATGTTGAAATAGTGAGGGTTCCGTTTGGACTAACCGTGTGTTGGTACGAGAGGATGGGTATTGGTCAATTGACGAAAAATATATAAAAGGCCGTACGATTGCGGGAGATCGCGCCCAAGCGGAGCAAGACAAAACAGAGGCATCACGTGCACTCTGCTGGGCAGCACGACCTTCTGTTCGCACCTAGCCAAAGAACGACAACGACGTGTTTTATTTAGCTCAAAGGACTCCCTGCCACTGCTGTTGTCTTCGCGTCCCTCGGGACAACACAAACCAACGACGGCGAGAGCAGATGAAGGAGCTTGCTGGAGAGAACGGCATCATCATCGTCGGGTTCTGGAACGGAAACAAGTTCGGAGAAGCCCTGCAGTACTTTTACTACAAACACCCGGAGCTGTGCGGCTCGCTGAAGGGGGCCGTGATTGACATGGAGGACCGCCACCTCGACACGGCGGAGGGCTACCACACGCACTGGACCACCCCTGAAGAGGCTCGCAGGGTGAGCGCAGCGTCCATGTTTCTGCTTGTGGGACTTAGGAATTTTCAATGTGCCCCCCCCCCCCCGCCCTCTGCTTGGTGATGTGCTAGCCTGGTCCAGTGAAACCCGGCGGCTCCGTCCCGGCCTTGTCGGGATGGTACACCCCCCTCTTGCGGTTATTCCCCGGTGGTTCTTTTCTGGCGTAACTTTTTTTTCTCAATAACCCTGAGGAGTAGTGTAGGGGCTAGATGGGGGCTAGGGTTGAGAGTACCCAACCACTTGTACCACGCGCAAGCTTGGCGAGAGCAAGGTAGGTAGAGGCTCTACCTACCTACCTACCTACCTACCTTGGGAGAGCGATTTATATAGATCGGTTGAGGGTTGGCCAAGGATACGGTTAGGCGGACGGAGGGTTGGGTTGCTTGCGGCCTCTGGGTCACTCCGCTGAAGAAGCTTGAGAGGTTGAAGACTTCTGGCGTTGTGCGTGGCCACAAATCGTTTCCCGTTTTTGCAGCTGCGCGGTACAGCTTTTACATGCATCATGCAGAGGCAATCAATCCCACTGTTTGGTTCTAAAGACTTTCGCCCAGTGCCGTTTTTTGTTGTCTTTTCGTGCAAACTTGTGCTCTCGCGTGAGCAAGCTTTCAAGCGCGCGCTGCCCTGAAGCACTTGGTTTCACGTCATGTGCATCCGTCTCGTGACTGGTGACTGACTGTTGCCGCTGCCCTGTTTCGCCAGGTCCTGGAGGAGAGCGGTTTCAACGTCCTGGACATCACGGAGATCGGGGTGGGCGTGCTGTGCACCTGCTCCGGCGGCGCGTCCACCCCGAGCCCCAGGGGCGGCGGCGGCGTGGCGACGGCGGCGACTTTCTTGCCCCACCCAGACACGCTCTCGGAGGACACCCTAATCGCGGAGGAGGAAGCGCACTCCTTGAACCACTACGGCGACAGGCAAGGAGTCAAGAGGAGACAGCAACAGGCACAGAGTAGGCTGCAAAGAGTCACCCACCCCCTCCCTTATGTGTGTGTGTGTGTGTGTGTGTGTGTGTGTGTGTTTGTGTGTCTCCCCGTACATTATGGACGCCAGTCCTTTCACTGACTCTGGCGGAAGGGGAAAAACAAATCCTGATCCCTGAGATTCGGGGCTGTAATGAGGGCGACGAAACATAACCGCTCCTCATCGGGCCGTTATTTGCCGGGGATATGAGCTAAAAAAATTACAGGTCCTGCATCTGATCATCGATGCCAATATAGGTAGAAGTTCAACTCTAGAAGAGCGTGATTTTGAGGTTGGCTATTTCCTGTGTGGTGATATATGGTGAGGAATGCCAAGCGGGACCGAGCGAACTCGGTCGAGCGAACTCGGTCGAGCTCGCTAGGGTGATTGGAGGTGGTGAAGAGTTGGGTGAGCATTCAGTGAAATACGTAGAGTCCATAACCTCCTGGTCAGACACGCCGTGCGGCACAAGAGGCGTTTCTAGTGTAAATTTTGTTCGTGATTTGGGGGAAAAGACGGACCGGAATCGGGGTCGCAAAATGTTAATGTCACGCGGGTTTTATCACGTGGGTCGCGCTCACCTGTACTTTCTGGGGAGAAAAAAAACATGTTTTCTGGGGCATGATTCGAAACCACCGCAAGGCCGAACGGGTTGTGGTTATAACATTTAAACCAGCGACTAGTTTTTCAGTGGTCGAACGGTGATCTTGCCTTGCTGCAACATTTCATTGCACTGGACGAACAGACGCAGAAAGTAGCTGTCGCGAGGAGGAAGCAAAAAAATTCCTTCCCCTCGTCGACCGCGAGTGAACGTTAATTCTGTTGCGGCGGACGCACAAATTGTTCTCCTTTTCACTTTTTTTTTTGTTGTCTTCATCACTTTGAGTCAGCGTCCACAGCAATTCTGCGGGGTAGGACTCCATTCCGTGGACACAGAAGAGGTTCCTCTCCGAGAGACCAGATTGTTCTTGGGGCATAATATATTCGTTGGTGTGACTGCGCCGAGACTCGAACCCACGTTCCAAACCCCAGAAAGTTGCATAAGTCACACACCATTACAGTACTCGAGCCACTCCTGTGTGGCTAGCTACTCCCGTGCGATCGTTGACGAAACCGTTTGGTGCTTGGCCGCCGTCTTATGCTTGCGTGCGACCCCAACCTTGCCGCGGCAACCGGCGACCGGTCCCGCTCTTGCAGCTTCACGCAGTACTTCTACCGCGAGCTCTGGGGCGGGCTCCACCAGCACCTGGGCTTGTACGAGGACCCCGCGACGATCGCCCTGCCCGCCAACAAGAGGGTGGTGGAGGTACGTACTTGAAGGAGATAATAGCTCAGCGTGGTACCATAGTACGCCAGTGGTGGTGGTGTTGCGTAGGGTACGCGTTTCAGGTTGAGGTCGTGCATATGCCGGCGCAACAATTTTTCACTGCTGCTTGAGGTCTTTCGTGGCAGTTGACTCTCGTACGCATGGCCTGCGGGAGGGGAGGTAGCGACGATGCAGTCGGAATAGGGAGGTGGCTGTCCTCTTCCGTGGGTCCAGAATATGATAATAGAGGGGTGCAATAGTTAGCCGGTCGCCCCGGTGGTCTAGTTGGTATCCTCGAAACCTTCTTGAGGTCCGGTCAGGGGTCCGAATCCCGGCGTAAGCGAGCTTTTCTTGCAAAGTGAGTTTTTCTCTCGCTTCCGCTCCTGGCCTAGTGGATAGCGCTAGTTCGTGTGTACACAGAGGGAAGAGAGTGCTGAACTCTTCTCGCATTAAAAATCGAAGGAGCCGTACCGCAGGAGGGGAGGGTAGAGAGGGGCCCTTCTGTGTGACCACGGGTTGGAGTAAACGGCACTAGTACTGTGAGCGCTGATGTGAAGTGAAGACAAATATGCATATATATAGTGGAAGCGCGGAAGCTTGTTCCGTGAAATAGCAGTAAGTCAAGGTTTGTGTCCGGTGGTAATGTCGGGAGCTTGGATTTGCTTGAGAACCCTACCGCCGTAGTTCTAGAGAACAAACTTGCGGCAGCACGTGTTTGCTGTCGACTTCCTCTTGAGATAGCAAGCTGAGACCACCTTCAAACAAGGTACTCTCGCGTCCCAAGCCTGACCCTCCCCCCCCCCCCCCCCCCTAACAGGCGTGCGAAAACAGCACCGTCGTCCTCTTCTCCATCGCCAAGCCCACCATGGGCACCAAGGCCGTCGAGCTCGGCTCCGGGTACGGCTCGGGCTCGCGATACCTCGCGGTCAACTTCGGGGCGACGGTGGACTGCGTCGACCTCAACCGCGAGTCCAACGACCTCAACCGCCGCCTCACGGAACAGGCCGGCCTGTCCGACCTGGTCAGGGTCGGGGAGCCGGCCACCTTCTTCAGCACCGGCTTGCCGGCGGCGTCGTTCGGCTTCTGCTTCTCGCAGGACGCGCTGTGCCACGCGGGGAGGCAGACGCCGAAGGCGCTCGAGGAGGCGGCTCGGCTGCTGGCCCCCGGGGGCGTTTTCGCCTGCACCAACATCCTCAGGGCGGAGGAGGCTACGAACGAGGAGCTGGAGGAGGTGCTCGCGCGTCTGCAGGTGGGGTGAAGGTCCGGGTCGTCATCGTTGGATGATGGTGGTTGTTGTTGTTGTTGTTGTTTGGCGTTGGCTGATCGTACAAGAACGCTAGCGACGGTCTAGTGTGTCTTGCGGAGTACCATCTGTTTTTTTACACAAGGATGACCTCTTGGCTATCTCAACGGAGTAGTAGCTGCCCGCCGTATCCCCCGTTTGACCTTTTGGTGCTAGCAGTAGGGTCGGCCTCAACTTTCGCACATCAGCCCTTACATACACCTGAGCAATGAAAGAGAGGCCCGGAATCACGTTTTCCATGTCACGGAATCACAGCAGTTTGGTGGGCTATTGCGTTGGCCGAACTCGCCCGTGGGGATCGTCGAGGGGCCGATTTTCTTGTGCGACCTACTTGTAAATGGTGCGAACCGCAGCGCTTGCGAGGCCGTCGCACGTGATGGCGGCTAGGCAGAGACTTGGTGGGTGAAACAACCTACTGCACCACGTTTCTGGGTACATACACTCGATGCATGCCCGAAGAAACGAGAAAAAAAAAAAAAGGGTTAAGACGGTGGTGGTGTCCTCCGAATTCTATCACCCCGGAGAGCGAAATTTGCAGTGGAAGACAATCACAGGGAAGGGAATGTGTACTTATGTGCTTGGTTGTTCGACGCGGTTGCGCGCCATCTCTCTCTTTTCCCTTGTAATCAGGTGACCTCCCTGGAGACGCACAAGTCTTTCGTGGGGCACGCGCGCTCGGCCGGGCTGGAGCCGCTCGAGTCGCTCGACAAGACCACGTCCCTGGCCGTGCATTTCAAGACTCTCCTCGAGGTAATGTTTCGTCTACAGCAGTACCTTGGTACACTTTTTTGTGTGGTTTTGGTCGTTTTTCTTGTTGAACGTTTTCCCTTGGTGGCCCTTCCGAGTCTGAGACAACATCGCATCCACTGCTGCCGCTCGTGGAAGTTAGTAAAGCTGCACGCAAGAGTTGTGTGTTGGAATCGTTCCCGATTTTCCTGCGCGTTCCTTGTCCGCTTTCTAGTCTAGATGCTGTTGCGTACATCGCTGCTGTCGTTGTTGGCACTGTTACGGCGACGTTCACGACCGGCAGTGCGATGGTTGTGGTGTCGGTGGTGGGACAGCTCTCGAGTAGTTTGTTGGGGGCTGCTGCGCTATGATGTGCTGAGAACTTACGAAGGGGATAGTTCTGTTTTTTTGTGCCCGAGTACTTGAGGTCGCCCGCAGACGTGGGTCCTCTGGACTGCTGTGTAGGCTTCGCGAAGTGCCGGATGGAAATGTTTATCTTGTGTTTCTTGCAGCGTGCTTCGCCGAGACGTATACTAGTAGTGAGCAGCAACTGCGGGTACTTTTCGGTGCTGAAGTGCGAGACCGTCGCCGCTGCTGCTGCTGAGGATGATCCTGTCGCAACGCGTTTCCCACGGATCATGCCGTCAGGCCAGGCTCATCGCCTAGTGTGGAGCACGCAGGGTGCAGTTGGGCAAGAAGCGCACGAGAAAGATTACTTTCAGCCTTCACCCTGCATCTTAACACCGTCCACATACATCGCCGGACACGGTGTGTCTACTTGCTCCCTGTCTGTTGACCTACATACCCGCCCGAATCCCCCCTCTCTCGCTCGGCACCATCTCGTGGCCATGTATCGTAGGTTGCGGAAACGCGCAAGGCCGACATGCTGAAGCACACCTCTCCGGAGTACGTGGACGAGCTGTCGAAGGACCTTCGCAACTGGCTCTCAGCCTCGAACAGGGGTGTGCTCAGGTATGTGTATGCTGCTGCTGCTGCTGCTGCTGCTGCTGCTGCTGCCGCTGCTGCTGCTCTTGTCTCGTGTGCAACATGAGAAAGACGTTTCAAAACCTTGTTGTTGATATACCCAGGGACAAGCATCCTCTGTTCTATTCCAACCACCGGAAAGACGCGAATTCTGCGGCCACGGGCTCTGCTGTGTTCATACGCAAGTTTTGTGTGTGCGAATTGCGTGCGTGTTGGCGACCGGGCATGGCTGGCGTGAGAAAATTGAGTTATGTACATCTACCACACGGCAGGGGCAAGGCTTGTAGTTGGAATGTGTCTTGATTGTTGCACGCAGACGAAGATTCTGAAGGGAGGGGCGGATGGGTGCGTGGTGGTGTTGACGGTTGCTTTTTCTCGTGTTGTTTTCCTGGCGTTTGGACGCGTGAAAACATCGGTGACGTGGCTGTTGTTCGCTGCCGAAACCAACCCCTGCTCGACAACAGCAGTAGTCGACCGATCTATCTTCCTACTCCTCGATGCTCCTCGACCATTGGACAGAGTCCTCCTCATGCTTTGTTTCAGGAATCGATTAACCATCAACGGCGCAGTTCACTCGTGCTTGCCACGCAGTCCGGAGGTACATGTCTGTCTACAGCCCTCTACGTTGCTTGCGCGCGTGCTGTTTTGCTTCGCGTCTACAGTGCTACTGTACTCGGCTGAGCAAACCATTCTTCGCATCTATCGCGCCTTTTATTAAGTCGTCGTGGTCTCTCGGCATGAGAGTATTTCATGCCGTCCTGTCACTGGCATCAATCGCCCCAAGCAGCTATGTACAAGCCGGACTTTCCTTACCCTTTCAGCTGAGTGTCGTCTCACAAGTACCTCAAGCCCACCCACCCACCCATCCTCCGCCCAGTCGTGCATACTTGCGTTTTATTTATTTAGTCGCTTTCGGTTCCTTTTGGTATCAGAACACGCACCCTCCCCAAGGTCTGACTGCCTGCCGTCAACACCACCCATCCGCCCACGCACGCACGCACGCATCCACTGCCAGGTGGTCCTTCTTCACCTTCCGCAAGAGCGCCACCCAGAAGTGATGCAAGCCAATCTGTCTGATGCTACCAACTTGACGCTTCGCGCTTGAGGGCTTCGCAGCCCTGTTGCATGCACACACGTGAAAGGAGCATGCGGGTAATGTGCAGCTTTTCAACGTGCAGCTTTTCACAGGAACAAGCGTTGCGTGGGCACCGCCTCTGGTCTGGGCTTGCAGTAGTTTTGGCTTGGCTGGGCCGGAGTGCTCGCGCAGGCGACTAAAATTACTGTGCTACAGCCGGGGAGCGGAAGAGGTAGTCGGCGCGAAAATTTTTGCTGGGAGAAGGTATTTTGTTTGTTGGAACTCGGTCACTTTGACAACAGCAGCAGATTGGGCGGACATGAGAGCACCTCTATTTTTTATAGATAGCGAGAAAAAATTGCGAGTGAAGCCCGTGTCCCTGTCTGGTCCTCGGGGGTCAATTTTGCAGAGGGAGGGGTCCTGGCGACTCGGTTGGAAAACTAAACTTTTACAAAATAGCGGATGATTTTTTGCGAGGATTTAAGATCCATCCTGTTTTGCGAAAAATGTTGCTTGCATGCGTGTGCGTGTACTGCTACGGGGAGGGGCGTCTCGTGCGAATCACGCGTCGGCTAACTGCTCTGTACCGTAGAATGGAGTGGAGAATCATACATGAGTCACTGCTTTGTGAAGTTTTGATGCGTGACCTTGGCGGCGTTTTGGCCTCTGGTGGTAGAGCCCGCGTTCTCCCTTTGACGACCGGCAGGTGTTGCTGCGGTTGCGGGTAGTTGTGGTTGAATACAGGAGTTTCGGGGGCGGGGGGATTGGGAAAGGGAGAGAGAATTGAGACTTGTGGAATAGAGAACACTAGAGAGGGAAAACAAGAGGAGGGGCAGAGCCCGTGATAGTGTTGAGCCAGGTTGTTCGTGAAAGTCTGTCCTTTTGTAATGGTAAACGCCGCATGTTCTAGTTTTTGTTTATTCCTACATAGGAGCGGACGGGGCGCTGTGGTTTTGAGCGAGAGACACGAAAGAGTCGGGGCGATTGTGTTGGACTGGTTTATGACAAGCATTGCCACTGTCGGGAAGCTTGCGGGGATTGTTCAAGAGAACAGAAGGCAGGAGGGAAACTGGTTGGTGTAGATGTTGGGGTCCATGAACAAGCCGTGTTATATGTTACACACGAGGACGAGCTCTCTTTCATCAGATGGGGGAATGTCGGGGGTGTATTGTTTACGGGACAAAAAGCAGGACTTGGCTCGCGGAGTTGAAATGCACGGCTGTGACTGTCGGGAAGCGTGAGGTAGCGTGATCAATAGAGAAGGAGGCCGTAGGGAGTTCGGCGCTTGTAGGTGATTGGTGTACATGTATGTTTGAGTCTCTTGAACAACCTATGTTGTACGAACAGACATTTTTGCTGGTGATGATCCGGTGTTTGTGGGTGCGTGATGAAGCACCAAAGAGACGAGGCTGCTTGTAAATTGTAGGGAGACGAGACAAGATATCGGGCGGCGTGTAGTGTATACGAAGTATGTGTGAACAAAGGTGAGGAACGACGCACGGAGTCGAATGCATGGCTGTGTAAGCACGGCATATACACATGTAGGTGATACGAGCGAGGAAGGCTTGGTTCGGGTTGGTGGCCGAGAGGGGCAAGCAGGCCTGTTGTTGTGTTGACGTTTCATGTTGTCTTCGTTGTTTGTACCAAGTACATGTTTTCGCCAAACCCTCTTTTCATGTATTCAGAATCAGGGCACCGTCGCCCGTCCATCCGTTGAGATGGAGGCGCGGAGCAGCGACAATCTCGGCATATTTTTTAAGCAGGAGTAGATCTTTGTCGGTGTCGGGCAGTCTCGCGCGGGTTGACATGCCACCACGAGAGAGGCACGTGGCGGGTGGGACTTTTCCAGGGACAGGAGCATTGCCGTGATGCCATGTGAGGGGGGGGCGGGATGAGGATCCGCGTGTGCGTGTGTGGGACCATGTTCCCGACGAAGGAAGGAAGCAAGTACCATAGCGGAAAAAACAGCCTAGAAGGCGGGGCGCTTGGCTAGAGACCGGGTGGGCGTCCCCCACGCCTTTGAGCCAAGCGAAAGGGTCACCAAGTGTCCTGGTAGGTAAGTTTGAAGGAACAGCTGGCCAGAAGAGGCACCGACTTGAGAGACGAGCATACATAGTGTCATATGCTCCTGCACTTGGTGGTGCGCACGCTACTTTTGTACTTGAAGTTGCGTGAACCAGTATTGTGAGGCATCGGATGAAACGAGGTAGTTTAGGCTTAACACGCACGGTGTATCCTGGCGTTTACTCGCGTAGGGTACGCTTTAATGTTGTTGCTTGTATTCTGTGTTTGTTTAAAATTGGCACGCGTTGAATGTCGAATGCCAGCACGCGTAGGAAGGTTGAGGCGGGGCGATACTTGCTTGCTGTAAAATCGCCATAAACGGCGGCGTGATGCACAGTCAGCGCGTTCCCGAAGGCAGGCAGGCACGTTTTGATACATAAATGCGTCCTTTGGTAATTATACTAGTCGCGAATAATACCAATAGAGCGCTGTGTGAGGGAAGTGACTGTACGCAGCAATCTTTGTCGTCGATGACGATCAATACCTGTAGATGACAGGGCAAGGAAGAAGCACGCAGAAGCCCTTTTTGCCTTGCGCAGTAATCTACAGGTATTGATCGTCATCGACGACAAAGATTGCTGCGTACAGTCACTTCCCTC